AAGTTTATGAGAATGATCTTAGGAACGAAACGCTTGTCATATGAGGAGTGGTTGAGGACTCTGGGTCTGTACTCAGTGGAGTTTATAAGAATGAGGGACTATCTTATTCAAACCTATAGAATACTGAGAGGCCGGGAAAGAGTGCACATGGAGAAGATGTTTCCACTAGTAGGAGAGACTAGGACCCAAGGGCACAGCCTCCAAGTGAACTGACGACACTTCAGAACTGAGATGAGGAGGAATATCTTCAGCCAGTGAACAGTTAATCTGTGGAACTCAATGCCTCAGAGGGCTGTGGAGGCCAAGTCATTGAGTGTCTTTTAGACAGAGACAGACAGGTTCTTGGTTAGTAAGGGAAGCAAAGGTTACAGGGAGAAGGCAGGAGAATGGAGTTCAGAAACATGTCAGCCATGATTGAATGGTGGAGCCATTTCAATGGGACAAATGGCCTAATTCTGCTGCTATATTTTGTAGTGTGATGTGATTACAATCTTCAAGAAAAATTGTTGGCAGCATACTCAGGGCCACAGGTTGGTTAGAACGAGAAGCATGCAACAAAGCACGCAGCAATATTTAAAAAAAGGAAACTGGAATCAAACCTATGAGCAATCAATGTGAATTGATAATGATGATGGGGAAGGAGACAGAGTTTGTATTTCCAAAAAGATTAACCCACACCATGACAGAATGACTAAGCACCATCAATGTTATTGATGAGTTGGAGGTTGAGAACACTACTTCCAATTCTAATTCAGAAGTTCCAACTTAACATCACCGAGGGTGGCCATAACATAGTGAAACTACATGAGGAGGTGGAAAGAGACAACCACACTTGAAACTTCAATAAAGGGTACAGAGCTGAAGGGTTATCTGTGGTATAGCTGAGAGAGAGAGTGGTGATAAGGGATCAACTGAGAGAAGGAAGGACCACAAGTAAGACACAGCAACAGAGATCATGTAATGTTATAACAAATCATGCGATCATTAGAAGAAATTAGAACGCATTGGACATTCATTGAACAAGAAACTAGTAGAAATATGGAAGCCTTTCTCTGAACAACAGGAACAAGAAGTTTTGTAACTATTCAGTAGAGGAATACTCACACTGAAAGACAATGGAGTGTAAAACAGTGTAGATCTCAAAATGAAATCAGAACCAAATCAGATAAGCATTTGTCTTAACAATGGGTCACAATCTTGAATTACTTACAAGAGATAATGAACTTCTGAACCAGACATGTTTTTTGATGAAGACAGCAAACCATGCCTGGCTGATAAGATAACTTCTAAACATGGAATTCATTAAGTTCCAAAAGATTCTCTTTGTGAACTCCGAGGATGCTGCACTTTTCAGGGCGTCAAGGAGATTCAATCTAATTACATGTCCTCAGCAGAAAACATCTCCCATGGTTTATATTCCAGACTAGGGAATGAATTGAAAGACATGTTGTTGTTTTTGCCATTGCAGGAGAACATAAAACAGGGGTGAAAACCAATTCCTAATCTTTAGTTGACTGTTAGCTTGAGGACAGCCTTTGAACACTCTTGTATTGCAGGTAAAAGGAACCAAAGTGTTACTTTACTTGAGTGCTACAGGCCAGCCACTGTTGAAAGGAAACAGGACAAAATAACTTTGGTGAACCAGCAAAGCCAAGCATCTCCAAATCAGCTGTTCACCTACCAGCATCTATGCTTTGGGTATCATCCAACATGTTGGCTATAACATTCTAATGTCTTCTCTTCACAGAACTCAGAGACTGATCTGAACATTGTCTTTAACTTTTATCATTTTTTGGACTCTCCTTTTATTTCTAATCTGTGTGTTATAATTTCTTCTCACATTCAGTAACCAATTTAAAATAGAATAAACTCTTTCTTTGTCTCAAGAAAACCAGGTTAAATTGACTCTTATTAAAACATACATTCATTTGGTCTGGAAGAAAGACATCCACATGGGAAGGGATCCTTTTAACATTAGCCTTGCTGTGGCCAGCTGAGTGGTTGGTAAATAAAGAAGGGGAGGGAGTAAGGTCGCCCTTCTCATCCAGATGTTTAACGATTTGGGCTATGCTGTTTGGAATTGTCCTACCATGGAGACCCTTGCCTGGGAATTGGTCGTAGCACAGTACACCACAGAACCTCATTCTGTGAAAACTGAGATTCTTGACGGAAATGATATATAATATATAATTGGGGTAAAAACATGGTGAAAGATTTAAAGTATTGAGATTAACATCTGAAATATTTATAATAATGATACACAATCTTGCAATGATGACATTAGAAACACATGATGATTAGCAGCCATATATCCATTTGTTGAATTGGGCTGCAAAAGACTTTCAGATAGATACAAAGATTTTATTGTAAATCTACAGTATGATATACACATCAGTTTCCACTTTTCCCTCATGTACCCTTTTCCTGTCCAGACACAAACACCCTACTAGGAAAGCACTCAGCTCTTTGTTTTATTTGGTAACTCACCACAAATTTTAAAAAAACACCAACAAATTACTGTAAACACTATTTCCACAATATCTACCTCCCTCTGAAAGTGTAAGATAAAACTGTAAGATATAGGAGCAGAATTAGGCCATTCACCCATCAAGTCTACTCTGTCATTTAATCATGGCTGTTATGTTTCTCAACCCATTCTCCTGCCTTCTCCCTGTAATCCTGAACTCTTTAGTAATCAAGAAATTTATCCATCTCCTTCTTAAAGACTCTCAATGATTTGGCCTCCACAGCCCTCTGTGGCAATGAATTCCTCAGATTCGCCACCGCCTGGCTGAAGAAATTCCTCCTTATCTCATTTCTAAAGGAATGTCCCTTTACTCTGAAGCTATGCCCTCAGGTCCTTGTCTTTCCATCTAGTGGAAACAACTTCGTCACATCCACTCTATCCAAGCCCCTCCATATTCTGTAAGTTTCAATGAGATCCCTCTTAGCCTTCTAAACTCCATTGAATACAGACCCAGAGTCCTCAACTGCTCCACACGTGACTTATATTTCTGAATCAACCTTGTAAACCTCCTCTGAACCCCTTCCAACACCAGCATATCCTTCCTTAAAACTGTTCACAACATTCCAAATGTGGTATGACCACAGCTTTATAAGCCTCAGCAGTATATCTCTGCTCTTGTATTTTAGTACCTCTTGAAATGAATGCTAATATTGCATTTGCCTTCTAACTGCCAACTGAACATGCATGTTAACCTTAAGAGAATCCTGAACTAGGACTCCTAAGTCCCTTTGTGCTTCAGATTTCCAAAGACTTTTCCCATTTAAAAAAATAGCCTACGTCTCTATTCTTGCTACCAAAGTGCATAGCTTCACATCTTCCCATATTGTTTTCCAACTGCCACTTCTTCACCCACTTTCTGAGCCTTTCCAGGTCCTTCTGCAGCCTCCCTGCTTCCGCAACACTACTTGTCTCTCCACTTATCTTTGTATCATCTGCAAACTGCAAGGTGGACAGAAACCTGGCTCCGTTTATTTTGATAAATCACCATCAGATCAATGGGTAGTCTTAAAATAACAAAGAAAAATCAAAAAAAGTTCGAAAACAAGGGATGGGACAAATTATAAACAGTGTTGGAGAGGGAAATAATGCACCCCAGCCACTACCGCCATCTGAAAGCTTCAAGGGTACTGGTGAACAGGAACTCAGTTCTTAGTGATTTTAACCCACTTGTTTAAGACATGTTATGACATACATTCAGGGGAGGTGGGACTTGAACCCAGATCTTCTTGCCAAAATGCCAAGACAATACCACCATGTCATATGGCCAGAATGGGGCACAACACTATTGTTTCCACCCCTCTCTATTTTTCTTTCTTTATTGCTTTATCTACCTGTCGATATTTTCTCATCAACCTGTTCAGAGATATTATTACACACCTCTGGAACACCTGGGACTTGAACACACACCTTCTGGCCCAGAGGTAGAGACCTACTACTGCACCCACCACAAGAGATGTTAATATCATTTGCATGGAGCTGGAGAAGGCAATGAAACACCAATGGCTAAAAGTTTCATTGCATTCACTGGTACCAACAAAACTGGTAAGAATCAATGCCTGACATGGAAGCTACCATTATGGGGAAGGAGGACAACTTGTATTTTAAGAACTGTTCTTGCACACTGCTGAATGGCTTTTTTTCTCCACCACGAAATTATCCATGATATTTTTCATCTATTATCCACCACACTAAGTCATCAGGATAAAGCAGCCTGCTTGATTAGCACCATGTTCACAAACATTCACTCTTTCCCCAACCAGTATACAACAGCAGCAGTGTGGACCATTTTCAGGATGCACTGCAGCAACTGGCCAGGGCTTCTTTGAAGGCATTTTCTAAACCCACAACCTCCACCAGCTAAAAGGTCAAGGGCAGCAAATTCGACTGAACATCACCACCTGCAAGTCCTTCTTCAAGCCACACTCCATTCTGACTTGGAACTATATTGCTATTTCTGCAACGTCATTCGCACAAATCCTGGAACTCTTTTTCCTACCAGCGTTGCGAGTGTACTTAATCTAATTAATGTCTTGCCTCTGTAAATTCTTCCACACCCACTCTGAGATATCTGCTTTCCTGCAGCACTGGCTTTGTGTATATCCACTGTTATAGTTGTACCATTGGCTTAGACTCGAACCTCTGGAATTCCCTCCTTACACCTCTTCCCCCCTTTCTACCCCTCTCTCATATTTAAAAATACTTCTTAAATACTACCATTTTCCTCATGTTCAGATACCTCTTTGTGTGACTTAGGGGTAAATTTTGTTTGAAAATGCCCATATGAAGTGCCTGAACGTAAAGATTCTGGTCTCACCTAGATTTGTTCTTTCTCCCTTGTAAATAGTAATCTGAATGTCTTTTGAATGTATTGTTGAAAGTAACCCACTTACTCAAAGATACAGACTTCTGCTTTCACTTCTGCCAAAATATAATGATTCACAACTTGTTCCAAGCACTTCTCATTTCCTACAATTAGTTGCACTGGTGAAACAGAAGGTAGGATAATATTGTGCTTAAGCTCTTGAATGAAGTTGCTGATTGTTTATGTTAATTGTGATTGTTTATGTTAATTACTAAAATTAATTGTGATTCATAAAGTAATTCAATATGCTGGCTGCTCTATTGGATATAAAAGACTTTTTTCTTACTTGTTCATGTGAGCTCGATGTGACTAGTCAAACCAATGTTTGTTGCCCCTATTTTCCCTTCAGTCGGTGATGTTAGGATGCCTTCTTGGATTGCTGTGGTCTAGGTACACACACAAAACTGTTAAGGAGGAGTTCCAGGATTTCAACTCAGTGATTATGAAAGAATAGTGATACATTTCCAGGCGAGAATGGTTTGGGGCAAAAACAAACTTGCAGCAGATGGTGTTTGATACACCTAAAGCCCTTGTCATTTGAAGTGATAGGTGCCCTGGGTTTTAAAGGTACTGTTGAAGAGGACTTTGTGAGTCAATACAGCGCACCTTTTGAATGATATACACTGCTGTCGCTGTGCACTTGTGGTGGAGAGGGTATGGTAAAGTTTAAGCTGGTCAGTGGTGACCCAACTAAGTAGGATGCTTTGTCCTAGCTGATGGCAAGCTTCCTAAATTTTGCTTGAACCACACTACTCCAGGCATGTGGGAAGCATTCCATCATACTCCTGACTAATTCTACCTTTTAAAGTTTCGTTGTTATGCATAACCAGTTTCTTCAGTAACAAAAACAAAGTTGCTGGAAAAACACAGCAGGTCTAGCAGCATCTGTGAAGGAGAAAACAGAGTTAACGTTTCGGGTCCGGTGATCCTTCCTCAGAACTTAGTTTCTTCAGTATGTGGTCCTCTTAATTTCCTTTTTACACAGTGTTATTTAACACAGAACAAAAGCTGTGAGCTACTTTACAGCTGCTGTGCAATGATGCACAGCATACTGCCCTCGACTACCTTGTACATGATGAACAGGATTTACAGAATCAGGAGATCAGTTACTCACTCAAGTATTCCCAGCTACTGACCTCTGCTTATAACCACACAACTTATTTCTGCTCAATGAAAACCTCAGGATGTTAATGCTGATGGATTTATCAACGTCAAGACAAAGTAGTTACATTGCCTTTTACATTCCCATCCCCTTGTCACTTATCATGTCAACTTTCATCAAAGTTTTGCTGTGGAGTGGTCATGCTTTGCTTTGCTACAAATGGTATCCAATACTATGCAATCATCAGCGAACATCCCCGCTTTTGGTCTTAGAATAGAGGGACAGTCATTGATGAAGCAGCTGAAGATGGTTGGGTCTAGGACACTATCCTACAGTAAACTACTCATGCTGAGAAAATCGACCTTCAACAGCTTTAGCAAACTTTTTTCATGCTGGCTATGTGCTAGGCTTTGTTCTACTTTTCTCCAACTCCAATTGCCTATGTTGTCCAGGGATGCACAGGATAGGCAGATTAGCCATGGGAAATGCAGGGTTACAGGGATAGGGTTGGGGGTGGTGTTGGTGTTCTTCAGAGGGTCAATGTAGGCTCGATGGATCAAGTGGCTTGCTTCCGCACTGTAGGAATGCTATGATTCTATGTCTTCAGCTTCACTGGGACTCTTTGCTGACATATTCAGTAAATGCTGCAATGATTTCAAGGACAGTCATTCTCTTGTTGCCTTTAGAACTAATTTGCCTGTATTTTGAGCAAAGGTCCAATGAGGTCAGCAAACAAATGGCCCTAATAGAACCCAAAATAAGCATCAGTGAGTGGGTTTATTTGGTGTAAGTGCTGCTTGATAACACCATTGATGACACCTTTTATCATTTTATTGATGATTAAGAGCAGACTGATTGGATTGGAATTATCCCACTTTATTTTATAGATGGGAAATACCTAGAGAAATTTTCTGCTTCTTCAGGAAGAGGCAATACTATAGATGTACTGGAGCAGTATGGCTACATTATGGCCTGTAGCCTTTGGTGTACTCAGTTGTTTATTGCTATTGTGTGGACTGAATTAATGGGCTGAAGACTAGCTTCTGTGATGTTGGGGACCTCTGGAGCAAGAAGCTGTGATGGACCTTCATTGATACATCTAGTTGAAGATATTTACAAACCAGTTTAAAGGCAATCACTCATACTTTGAAAGAGAATAAATGACACTAGGGGAATATGCTTCACATGGAAAAAAAAAGATGCATGTGGAAAGAGTACAAAAAATTAAGAAAACAAGTATTGTGTTAAAAAAGACAATCTAAAAAATTATATTCATATAAATTAATTATGGGTTATGTACACAACTGCATTTTTTAGTGACTTCAGCATGAGTTTTGATGAGCCTTTTGAATGGTTTATCATAATAAAATTTTACAATGTTGAGAAAACCTGAAACCAGTTAAAGACATAAATCTGGAAATAAACTTTGAGTGACAATTCTCTTATTGATCCAAGAAGTTGTATGTGGACTTGAGGTCCAAGGTTCAAATTCCAACTTGTGGCAAATTAACAAGTATTGCTCCAGATGAGAGAGCTACAATTTGTCTGAACCTCTCTATGCTTGGATACACAAATCATCAAATGTGCTGAAATCTGCACCATTTGGAGCCGAGGAAGCAAAGATGAGGGTTAGACTAGGGTGTTGACTGGAATTGGAGAGAGTCAAGGTTTAGTTGGGGATAAGGTCAAAAAAGTGGTAATGGAGGTTGAGCAGATCAATGGCTATGGAATCATAGGGAAATGGAGACCTAAAGACCAGAAAGTAATGAGATTGAAAAAGCTCTTGCAATGAACTACATTTTAGATAGATGTTTTGTATATTCAAAAATCTACGTGAGTAATAAATACTTAAATGAGGATGAAGGTAAAATGATACTCTAAATATGTATAATTACCATCCTAAGTGTAACTGAAGAAAGTGTGATTAGCACATTTTATGATCATTTCAAAGTTGCTCTGAGGAAAAACGTAAACAATGTGGACAATACAGAAGTTACCAATAGCAACGCCATTAGTGATCTGCTGCTTGTTAGATGGAGGGAAAATGGGGATCAATTATTGCTTGAAAACTTTTTAAGTCAGAGAACAATCATAACTTTTTGTTCTATCTCCAAACATAGTGTTCTGAGTAGTTAATTTTTGTGTGTTTTGTGACACTTCAACATATGTAGCTTGCTGCTGCTTTGTTTATCTCACTAACATCAGCCAGGTCAGCCTCTGTAATCAATTAGTTAAGATTATTCTTAGAATCCGAATACATCAATACTGGTGAGAACAGGAAAGACATAACCTGTTATATCTTTATTAGCTCTAGTTGTGACTCTTGCAGTGCTAAAACAATTTCAGTTTGTACTAAATGAACATTAGTTCCATAGCCTTGGCAGAAGTGAGCAGTGAAGTAGCCTTTATGATGCTGGAATTCTCAGAAGTAACTGTAGCACATGACCTAATGTGACATTTTTCTGTTGCTATGATTGTTCATGGAGCCCTAATAGTCACTTAAAATTGGGGACCACTGCCTCAGTAAGTTTAGAGGTTTGTATATTTGTCCATTTGGCTATTTCCTCTGCATCAGACATTTATATCCTATCAGGACATTCAGTCACACTGATCATAGGACTGATTTCTATAGACAGATTCAATGATGTTATAATGTTCTGGAAGACAACCATGCATAGTATTTGAAATTCTAGTGAGCCCTCATCTGTGTGCAGTTAGGTGCACATGAAAGTGTTACATTAGACACAAGATCAAAGGAGAGAGGAAGTTCAAAAGCAAATTGGACATTAAAGGCAACAGCATTAGAGAAACTGGCATCTTAAATACACCACAGAATTTCAATAATACATCCCTTTTGTATCTTTTATTGAAACTTGATTTTTGCCATGCTTTCCCAAGCTGGTGTGCTTTCTCACGCAACTTTGGTTTTGCAAGATAGTGTGACTTGACAACATAGCTGTGGCAAATATTATTATGTATTAGTGAATATTTGATCCATTGTGTGAAAATTAAGAGAATATTCAAGTTTAAATTTGCTAAATATGTCATGTGCCTTTGTTAAGAAAGGATAACTTTCTTGCCTTAACTTGGACATTGTTTTCATATTGAGTAACTTCTTTCCATCTTCCGCAATGATCCAATAATTATAGGGTCAACTTAGAGTTTACTGTCAAATGAATTAGTTCCTCATGGGAAGTTCCCAGAACAGGAAATGCGATAGAGTTATAGAGTCATACAGCACAGAAACAGGCCCTAAGGCCCAACTTGTCCATGCCAACCAGGTTTCCTAAACTGAACTAGTCCCATTTGCTTGCAGTTGGCCCATATCCCTCTAAACCTTTCCTATCCACGTGTTTGCCCAAACATCTTTTAAATGTTGTAATTGTACCCGCCTCTTCCACTTCCTCCAGCAGCTCGTTCTATATGCACACCACTCACTGGGTGAAAAAGTTGCCCCTCAGGTCCCTTTTAAATCTTTCTCCACTCTTAAACCTTAAACTTATGCCCTCTAATTTTGGAAAAAACTTTGGCAATTCATCTTATCTATGCCTGTCGTGATTTTATAAACCTCTATAAGGTCAGCCTCAGTCTCCTACATTCCAGGGAAAAAAGTCCCAGCCTATCCAGCCTTTCCTCATGACTCAAACCTTTCAGTCTTGGTAAATCCTTGTAAATCTTTTCAGCACCCTTTCCAGTTTAATAACTTCCTTCCTATAGGAGGGCAACCAGAATTGTACACAGTACTCCAAATGTGCCCATGCTAATGTCTTATGCAGCTGTAACATGACATCCCAACTCCTGTACTCAATAAAGAGACAACAAGGTGCAGGGCTGGATGAACACAGCAGGCCAAGCAGCATCATAGGAGCATTACTCCTGTACTCAATATATTGTCAAATAAATTGTCTAGGAGGATTTTCAGATCCCAGCCAATGAACATTACTTTAAAGAAGGTGTTCCCTTCACACAGCACACTTTACTGTTGGAGGATGAATAATTCAGATCAAGCAAACTATAATTAATATGACCACCAAAAATGAATTCAGCTTTATTGCCAGTGGAATAATAACAGAAAATGGTGGAGAAATGTAGCAGGTCTGGCAGCACCAGTGGAGAGAGAAACAGAGTTTACGTTTGGAGCCTTCTTATAGTGGTAAAGGTTTGTTTCTTGGACTGGAGGCCTGTGATCAGCGATGTTCTGCAGGGATCGGTGCTGGGTCCACTGTTATTTGTCATTTATATAAATGATTTTGATGAGAATATAAGAAGCACAGTTAGTAAGTTTGCAGATGACACCAAAATTGGTAGTATAGTGGACAATGAAGACGGGTTATCTTGATTAAATGGGCCAGTGGGCTGAGGGATGGCAGATGGGGTTTAATTTGATAAACGTGAGGAGTTGCATTATGGTAAGATGAACAAAGGCACGACTTATACAGTTAATGCTAGGGTCCAGGTAGTGCTGTAGAACAGAGAGACCTAAGGGTTCAGTTCATTGAAAGTTGCATCACAGGTAGACAGAGTCACAAAGAAGGTGTTTAGCATGCTTGCCTTCATTTCTCAGACCATTGAATATAGGAGTTGGGACATCATGTTGCGGTCGTACTTTGGGGAGGCCACTTTTGGAGTACTATTGTACTGTTCTGGTCATCGTGCGGCAGGAACACTATTATTAAATTGGAGAGGATGCAGAAAAAATTACGAGGGTGTTCCCAGCACTGAAGGGCTTGAGTTATAAGGAAAGGCTGGATAAAATGGAACATTTTTCACTGGAGTGTCGGAGATTGAGGGGTGACTTTATAGAGGACTATAAAATCATGACGAGCATAGATAGGGTGAAAAGCAAAGGTTTCTTCCTTGGGGATGGGGAATTCAAAACTGGAGGGCATATTCTTAAGGTGAGAGGAGAAAGGGACCTGAGGGGCAACTTTTTCACGCAGTGGATGGCTTGTATGTGGATTGAACTGCCAGATGAAATGATATGAAATGATAAATGATAGATAAATGATAGTTCTTTTATCCTGGTCAGTATCAAAAAATGGGCATTATTGAGCTTGTTTATTACAAATGTTTGGCACTGTCAATCTTAAATTGTTGCCTGGACCTTTGCTGTATTTTTTTGCTTCAAAAAAATTCAAGGATGTTACAACATTTAAAAGACATTTGGACTGGTCCATGAATAGGAAAGGTTTAGAGGGATGTGGGCCAAGTGCTGGCAAGTGGGACTAGTTTCATTTGGGAAACTTGGTCAGCATGGACAAATTGGACTGAAGAGTCTGTTTCCATGCTGTATGACTCTATGACTCTATAATTCAAGTGTTTCCAGCATTTTCTGTTAGTATTTGAGATTTTCAGCATATTTTGTATTTTGCTTTTATTTATTACCAGTGAATTCTTGATTGCCTCTTCACTTTTTACACATTCACAAATCAGAATACAATTTGCCAAAATGGCACAAAGCCACAGATGCTGCCTATTTTCTAACAGGGAGCACCATGCACGTTAATGAATGTCATTTTTAATGAATATGATATTTCGATTTTCTCCAGACACAGATGCTCAAGATGGATAATACGACCTTCGTTACTCCCAACTGGGAAGTGAAATCCAATAACATGACGGGGAGTCATCCCTGTAAACCTGAGGAGCTTGGTACATTCATACCGATTTTTCTGAGTGTGGTCTTTTCAATGGGTTTCATTTTGAACACCATCAGCCTATGGATCTTTTGGTTCAGAATCAAGAGATGGAGCGGGGGAATGATTCTGCACTTCAATCTGGCTTTAGCAGATGCCATTATAACTCCTGCAGCACCGTTTATGATTATCTACTTCTCACTGTCGCACTGGCCCTTTGGACAATTTCTCTGTCAACTCAAGGTCTTTTTATTGAGCACCAACATGTACGGCAGCATCTACTTTCTCACCTTAATTAGCATCCACCGGTACATTTCTGTTGTGCACTGTACAAAGAAAACCATCTTTAAGGAGGAGAAGTTTGTAAAGATTGTTTGTGTGGGAGTCTGGGTTCTCCTGTTTGCTCAAGGATTTCCCTTCTTTTTTGTACTTAAAACCTCTGAAATGAACAACGCCACTCAGTGTTTGAACATGCATCAGGATGAGCTGATAGTTTTGTACTTTGTGTGGAACACAGTTATTTTATGCACTGGGTACATCATTCCACTTTTTGTCTCCATCATTTGCTACAGTTTACTTGCCAACTTCATTGTAAATTTGAGCCCCCATCAACTTAAGAGCAAACATATGAAGGTGAAATCCATGCAAATGATTTTAGTGTCCCTAGCGATTTTCATGATCTGCTTCCTGCCTGTACATGTGTCCCGAACATTTGGAATTTCACTTAAGTTCTTTTATCCTGATCATTGTCAAAAAATGGGCATTATTGAGCTTGTTTATTACAAGTGTTTGGCACTGTCAAGCTTAAATTGTTGCCTGGACCCTTTGCTGTATTTTTTTGCTTCAAAAAAATTCAAGGAATCATTAAGGAATGTTATAAGTTCTATAAAATGTTGAAATAAGAGCCAAACATGAGAAATAAAAGCAAAAGATTGCTGGAAATACCAAACTGGCCGGGCAGTGTCTGTTGAGTGAAACAGAGTTAACATTTCAGGTTAATGACCTTTCATCAGAACAGGGGAGATAATGGTTAAAAGGTTGAACCTCCTTAACCGACACAACTCTGGCCCGGCAAACTTCGAACATTTTATAGTGCAGAAAGCGGATTTCCAGATATTTAACTGTTGTAGGGTCAGTAGCAAGCAGAGTTCTTACTTTAACCATTGTAAAGAGGGTTGGAGGTAGAGAACAGAATGGTGTAAAAACTCCAGTGTTCTCCTGGAATCTGGGAAATTCTCTGGTCTGGTGAAAACCTGGGCCTGAGGCCACCAAATCAGACAGCTACAGTCTTTATTTCCTTCAAAGAGAGAGCTCTGTGCTCAGCAGCCTGAAGGAAGACAATGGCTCAGCAACGTCATCTCAGTCTGACATCCTGAGGATCAGTAAATCCTTTTATGCCAGACTGTATGACACGAAGCCCACAGACAGTGTGGCCTCCCAGTCATTCCTATCCTCTATCATGGATGTCTTTAACGACAGCACACGGGAGAGGCTGGACCGGTCATTATCTCTGGATGAGCTGACCATGGCCCTCGGGTCTTTAGAAAAGAATAAAACTCCCAGAAGCGATGGCTTACCGGCTGAGTTGTACTCAGCTCTGTGAGACTTGATTGGTCAGGACCTGCTGGAGGTGTATGAGAGTATGCTTCTGGCAGGTAGCATGTCCGAATCCATGAAGAAAGGTGTCATCACCATCATCTACAAACGGAAGGGGGAGAGGGTGGAAATTAGAAATTGGTGGCCAATACCATTGCTGAATGCAGACTACAAAATCCTGTCTAGGGTCATTGCTAACCAGGTCAGGTCTTCTCTGGGATAGGTGATTCATCCTGACCAAACCTGTACAATCTCTGAGAGCCTCATGCTCCTCAGGGATACAATCGCCTACGTGCGGGACAGAGGGATGGATGCCTGCCTCATCAGCCAGGACCAGGAGAAGGCCTTTGACAGGATACCTACAGGAGGGACATGATCTCCAAAATGGGCATTGTGGAGGGAATCCGTAATTGGATTTGACTGTTCTACATCAACATTGTTAGCACAATCTGAATCAACGGGTGGGAATCAGAAAGCTTCCTGATCAGATCTGGAGTCAGGCAGGGCTGCCCACTCTCTCCTGCCTTGTTACTGTGTAGCACAGAGCCTTTTGCTAAGTCCATCAGGAAGGATGTGAGCCTGAGGGGGGTGATTATTCCAAGCAGCGGGAATCTGCAGGTCAAAGCCTGCCTGAACATGGATGATGTCATTGTTTTCTGCTTGGATCCGCTGTCAGTGTGCAGACTCATGAACATCTTGACCGGTTCGAACTGGCCTTGGGAGCTAAGGTAAATCAATGCAAGAGCGAGGCAACATGCTTTGGGAACTGGACCAAATGAACTTTTGTCCCTTTCACCATCAAGAGAGATTATCTCTACGTGCTGGGAATATGATTCGGAAGGGCTGGGATGTGGGCAAAATTTTGGGCAGAGTGTATCGCCAAAGTGAGTCAGAAACTGGGCTTTTGGGAGCAGTGTTTTCTCTCTGTTGTAGGTAAAAACCCGGTGGTCAGGTGTGAGGCACTCTCTGTGTTGTGGGTAAAAACCTGGTGATCAGGTGTGAAGCACTGTCTCTGTTTTTTGCACGTGGCACAGGTTTGGCCCATTTCCCGAACTTGCGCTGTGGCAGTCACGCCAGCCAAATTCCACTTCATCTGGAGGTCTAAGATGTACCATATCTGCAGGGACACTATGTACAAAGCTCTGGACAAGGGCAGGAAGAATGTACCCAACACCACTCTCATCCTGATGGCCACCTATGTATAGCTGCATCAAACTGTACGTAGATTCTTAGTATGCAAACACTAAGTGTCACTATGTACTGAGGTTCTACCCATCCCCGGTATTGCGAAGGATGGGACTTGCCTCGTTGTCACGGAATACTCCAAATAGTTGGATCATTCTGTAACACCTGTTCTATGTGGAGAAATTTGCAAGGAAAAACACCTTTGACCACAAGTCCATCAGGAAGTGGTCAGCACATATCATCCTCGAGATCCTGCAGGAAAGGGAAAGGGTGGATCCTGTCGGTTTGTTCCCTGAGCAGACTGTCAAAGTCATTTGGCAGGGTGCCTCATCACCAGAACTTTCCAACAAGCACCAAGCCATTGTTTAGCTGGTGGTGAGTAGGGCACTACCTGTGAGATTCTTCACGTAGGCCCGGACTCTCCGCACCTCCGCATGCGTCCTCAAAGCAGTTGCAGGAGGTTAGAGACTGTTAGACATCTCCTTTGCAAAGGAAGTCTGGAGAGAGTGATGCAGTGGATTTTGTCGCGGTTCATCCCAAGCAGCTCCGTGATGCAGGAGATAGTAGGAACTGCAGATGCTGGAGAATCCGAGACAACAAGGTGCAGGGCTGGATGAACACAGCAGGCCAAGCAGCATCATAGGAGCAGAGAGGCTGACGTTTCGGGCCTAGACCCTTCATCAGAAAAGGGGGAGGGGAAGGGGGTTCTGAAATAAATAGGGAGAGAGTGGGAGGCGGATAGAAGAGGGATAGAGGAGAGGATAGGTGGAGAGGAAACAAACAGGTTGAAGAGGCGGGTTGGAGCCAGTAAAGGTGAGTGTAGGTAGGGAGTTAGGAAGAGGATAGGTCAGTCCAGGGAGGACGGACAGGTCAAGGGGGCGGGATGAGGTTGGTCGGTAGGAGATGGAGGTGCGGCTTGAGGTGGGAGGAGGGGATAGGTGGGAGGAAGAACAGGTTAGGGAGGCAGGGACGAGCTGGACTTGTTTTGGGATGCAGTAGGGGGAGGGGAGATTTTGAAACTTGTGAAATCCACATTGATACCATTGGGCTGCAGGGTTCCCTA